TTAATATCACCATGAAGGGAAACAATCAACGGCAATGTTGATGTATTTTGCAGGGATGGTTAGCAAGGTCTTCGAGTGTTTTGCCTTTGCGGATGAACGGTCCAAGTTCGCTTAGTTTGATTCTGAAGCAGACTCAATGACTCGCTGCAGTAGTACATTGTGCATACGATTCACCACTGCATGACGACGTACGTACATGTACGTACGCCAACTTAGAGGTCCAACTGGCACCTCATGTACATGTACGCTTAGATCTAGGCTATGTCTTTGTGTCTCGGTACGGTCTGTGCCATGTTCACCGCATTCATGTCGCCGTACCATGTGTCCGCGTTATTCGTGCTGCAGGTTTAACCGCTCCGCGTCTTGGGGTTATCAGCTACAGTATACTGCCTTCGTAAGCCAAGACCCCTGCCAGTCTGCGGTTCTACAAGATCTTGATCTGTACATGTAGGCCTGTATGTTCATGTAGGATTGCACTGCACTGTGATTGTGAATAAGTTCGAGGCCAAGACCTAGATACATTTTTATCAGAGAAAGGTCTGCCTTACTGTAACTAAGTACGTATATACAGGAATTATAAATTTGGGGACCCTGTTCCTGTAATAGAAGGGAGAGTTACATTTTAACTTTTGAATTGACCCTGGTAGATGACTGACATCATGCTCAATAATTGTAGGGTTAATGTCAAAAAAGGGTAGGGTTTTGACTTGTGAGGGAAATTTTGAGGGGAAACTGTTTTAACACGACACATGGTGAATTCAAATTTGCATGGTTTATCAGTAGAAAAAGTCACATTTTCTCACAATTTGAAATTTCCAAAAGATATGGTCAGTGCAATAAAGAGAGTGTTGCCTTTCTTTTAGGGGGGACTTACCAGTTTTGCAAGAGTAAAATGTCAAAAAACTGGTTGTCCCGAAGTATGCAATCCCCTGCAGCGCTGTACAGTGCGACAGTGTACAGTGTCAGATTTTGAATATGTACATGTACACTGTAACCTGGGTATTTTGCAAATGTGTGTGCGATATGTGCAAGAATAAACCTGGTGGCTAACTTTTTTTCTAGGAGCAAGTGGCTGTTCATTTTAGTATTCTTCATACAGCACTGCATACATGTACACGTGTACATTGTACATTATACAAAGGAGTCGCTACATGTTGTCTACCTAGGCCTATACGAGGGTTGTACTAATCAGCGTGAACACACAGTCAACACGCGTCAACACATTGATAGTAACGTCAACACACTGTGAACACTTACAAAATGCATTGAAAACAGTCATATCGAACTGTAATGTATACTCTTAGGAATAATTTATATTTAATCGAGTTTACATTTTACTACATTTCAAGTGAAAAAATTGTCTCTGAGCAGCGCCGCTGTTGCCGCCATCTTGCTTTCTTACGGCGTTTGGACCGTACCATGGTTTACTGTATAAAGGTGACCCCCTGTAGCGTAATGGTATGGTCAGTCTGACCGAGAGGTAACATGGCTTCTGTCTTTCATGGCTGTGCGGAGGGTGTTATTTTCGTAAAATAAAATGGCTTTTTCCCCCAAATATCGCCCACTGTTGTTAGCCAAATTGTATTTTATGCATTATATTGCTATCGAATTGCATTTCTGTTTACTTATAATGTGATTTGAGTGTGTTGACAGTGTGGTGACGTTACTATCTTGTGTTGACGCGTGTTGACGTTGTGTTGACGTTAATTAGTACGACTGCTATACGAAAGTCATGGTAGTCTGGTACTGCATATACTGGGTCATGCCTTGTCAAATTCAACATGCTTTTGGACCTGACTGGCACAGATTGAAACCAAATGCGGTGTGCTTATTGGATTCCATGAGAAACCCGAGAACCCAAATTTCATGTCATTTGGCCACCTAGCTTTTGAGATACGAGTTAACAAACTTATGTCCAATGTAGCTTGATCTGTTTTGTTTGGACAGCCATATCTCCTGAAGTAAAGCACCCACAGAGATATCATTTACATCATTTAAGCTCTTTGAATAGCTTCACACGTACTACATGTACCACAAAAATTATACAAATATATAACCTATATAACCACTGTACTTTGTGTAGGGGAGATGGTAGTCTTGCCCCAAGACTGGTTTTACCATTTTGGCTGGTGCACTGTGCAGGCGACATGTGCTGACAAGCTCAGCCGAATAGCACTACCAGTAGAGGGCGCTATATTTACAAGAGACAACCTGCTAGAAAACCAGTCTTGTAGAATCTGGCAGGCTTACGTGAAAAATTCCGAGCATGTGTACGTCACGCTCTCAAGTTCATGAATAATAATACCAGTACGCACTGCTGAAGACTGCGCGCCATGCAGACTGCAGTGCGCATGAGCAATTATTCGTTGCAGTTTTAGTGCATGAGGTATGCTCAGAATTTTTAAGTAAGCCTGCCAGATTCTACAAGACTGGTTTTCTGACGGGTTGTCTCTTATGAATATAGCGCCCTCTTCTGGTAGTAGCATTTGGCTGTGCTCGCCAGCACATGTTGCCTGCACGTACGGTGCACTGGCCGAAACAGTAAAACCAGTCTTGGGGCTAGACTAGGGAGATGGGAGAATGGCAAAACTGGTAATTAAAATTAACATCTCCCCTATGCAAAGTACATGTACATCTTGAAAATAATATGCAGTACCCACTGCTACAGGTTCATCTGTATTGGACCGGCAAGCTGACCCCATAAGCTTAGTGGTCAAGTAGTCAAGACATATGCACTAGTAAGCAGGAGGTTGTGGGTTTGAGTCCCACCTGAGTAAGTTCATGAATTTTTTCGCAAGCTGAACAATATATTGTGAACAATACTTTTGCTTGTATGGGGTTGGCTAAATCGTTGTAGGCGGAGTCTCGCAATATTCGTGTACGTAATAACCAAATATTTCTCCATAGCAATGAACACAAATTGTTCGGAACTGGGAGAATATGCTCATTGCATCCGGGTTATCGTGATGACCAAGCTTGTAATAACGGGAGTCGACTCTACGGTGATTGGCCTTTGTGTGTAGCCCAGAAATGAAAAGACTGAATTTGCATCATAATCACCAGCTTTACAATAGTCCCCACTTTGAAAAGAGGCAACGGGAATGTGGAAGCTTGAGTAGAGCCGCATGCCACCGAACAATCAGCCTTTTCACTGTGTAATTCAAAGCGTGCAGAACACGCTCAGCCACAAACCGAGAATTTGCAGTTTGGCAGGTAGCCTTCGTGGCCAAGCGAGGCTGGAATTCTTGGAGTCGGCTTTCGGAAAGAAATTCCCGTCGTCAAGGGTTAATACACAATGATGTCTTTGTTAACAGACTATTCTTGTTGGATGCAGACTGGTTCCCTGCCGAGCTAAGCTTCAAATCACATGTACCGTTATTGCTATTCAAAGAATCTCAGTTGCAACTGGTTATGAGGTCTGACGATCTAATGTTGGTACGGTCTGTGCGCATGTGAAAACACGAAGATCAGTCTTGGCATCCATTCCAATAGTAGTCAATTTGGGGTTCATCAAATTTAAGAGAAATGCAAATTTAAGATCAAGTGCAGAATGCAAATTCTACAAAGGAAAAACTTGTTCATTTCTGCTTGTGTTCCCAATACAACAACAAAGGTGACTTATGACTCGGACTTTGACTTGACCATTGTGACTCTTGACTTGGACTCATACATGTACTTGATAGGCACCGTCGATATCATATTTGGGCCGATATCATGGATACCGATATGTCGGTTTTTATATCAATATATCGAATTTTATTCATTTTAATTTTCAAGGTATAACAGGCATGAAATGGTGGTACATGTAAATTGTTCTAAGAGTGCACCCCTACACCGTAATGGTGTGATCCAATTCACTTTGGCGATGTTTTCCAATATCGGTGTTGTGTACATTGCCAAGATGGGATGGGATTCACAATGCCATGCATTGGAATATCATCAGCACATGTTTTACCAAACATAAGTACCACGTCATGTACATGTCAAAGAACAGGTCAAATCATGTATTTTCATAATTAAAAACCTCACACAAGAGGAAAAAACACGTAATTGAATACATGTAGTTAATTTTTGTAACCCTGAGCGGGGTGTCCCACAAAATGAGCAGCATGGTCTTGTATGGTGCCAGCTTAAGGGGGGCTGACTCACACAACAGGACGTGTTATCATGGTCAAGTCAACCAAATCGACCGAAGAAAATGTCATGCACATGCACAACCATATTGCGCTTTGAAAACAGGGTTGGTACATTGTACCTGTACATGTCATGTACACTCTTAACACATCTAGCAGGTGATCTCTCCCATTTGTTCAGTGTAACAGTAATGTACATGAACATACACATGTACTTTATGTACTGTACCTTTTTGTTAAATCATACATGTGACACATGTAGTCTACAAACCCTACCGTATAGTGCAATACACTGTACATGTACAGTGTACAAATGTAGCTGGAGGTTCCCCTTTAATAAACTTTATAAAGATGAGTGGGATTTGAACTGCGCCTCTGGAATACCATAGCAGTGCTCTACCAAAGGGGCTACCTAGCCCTACATGTAGGTTGGTGACTCTTCCCATTTGTCAATATCTTTATTCTGGGAAGCTAGTCATACCATCTTGAGAGTGTAGCATTTTCATACATTTATTTGCATTCCTTTTCATGTTCAGTATACTGTACTGTCCATTTCTACTGTACCGGGTATTTATCATGCAAACTTAGTTTTGTTATGTTGACAGATGTGGGATACTGTGCCACTGTGTGGAACTCCATAGCTGCATGTACGTGAAAGCTTTGTGTGCAGAACCTACAGTATCAGTCGTTTCAGTGCAGATTTTCTGGTAAGTTGAAAACTGCATCCTTGGACTTGCATCTAAATGTACTCATGCAGTCATTAACCACTTGATGCCGGATGACATGTCAACACACATACATGTAATTTTCCATATTTGTTCCATAATGTGTACATGTACTCTCGTTTAATGAATTTCTTCATTTCCACGGTTCACATATTAATGTGTTGTGCTTGATTGTGTCCAAGCATAGTTGCAAGGTCAAAGAATATACAGGTAAAGTCCTGTCCCTAGCAGCTTTTTCAGGTAAGAAAATCTGATGTTAACCATGTTAACTGGTTAAACTTCCATGCCAAATCCTACAGTACTAGTATCACAGCACATCTGATATGACCCATCATTTTTTAGCTGAAAAACTTTTTAGGACCTCTGTGTGGCAAGCAAAGGAAAATGATTTTTCTTTTATGGCCTCTCAATGTCTGAGTACAATGTTTTTGGTACCCATGTGTAACCCGTGGTTCACATTTCAAAATAGCAGGAACCAAATTTCATATTATTTTAATTCCCTTTGAAAAAACTCTTGACTTCACATAATTCAAGATTTATGATACAAAAGAGATTTTGCTTTATTGGAGGGAAACGGCCGAGCCAATCAATACGAGAAATACAAAGTAAATGCAGAGAACACCAATTCAGATGGCCACAAATTGAAATATGAGGTTTACAGAAAATGCAGGATCCTGCTAAGTTAAAATACACTTTGAGCTCAAGAAAAAAAATTTGGCACCTATGTTCTAGATGCACAGATGAGTTGCGACGAGTTGTTTCAAGGTGGGACGACAGGAGTCCGTTGTGTAGTGTAGGCAGTCGGCAAAAGTGAAGGGCAAAGTTCAGCAGAAGAAATGTAACCCAAAAGAATACTTGCGGATCTTGCAAGGTTGATGCTGGTGATTAGTACCGCAGATGCCTTGGTGTACTTGTGCTGTGTCTGCAAGTCACAATATATGTTGCTTGGTGGCAGAGAGGCCTGGGGACAGCTCTTTAGGTGGACTACAGAAACCCCCGTCCGGCACCCTCTTTCAGAACATAGAGTCCAGTAACTAAGATAGAGAGCATAGTGGTCCATGCCACATTACTAATATAACCACATTTACAGGGTCAGACCAACGCAACCGACTTTCTATGAGTTACGTGCTTTAGTAGCTGTACATTGTGTAGGAAAACCTCACAATAAAATACCCTTTTTTCAAGATTTTTGCGTTGGGGAGATGTTAATTATAAATAACGGTTTTGCCCTTACCCAACGTATATTAATAGGCACGGTATGCTCAGTGCTTGTCCGAGAGCTTGCGAAAAAAACCTCACAAGCTTACTCAGATGGGACTCGAACCCACGACCTCCTGCTTACTAGTGCAGATGTCTTAACCACTCGACCACCGAGCTTGCCGGGGTCAGCTGGCCGGTCGGAGTCAAATGAAGCAGCGGGTACCGCGAACTATTTTCAAGATGTATTTTTGCGTTGGGGAGATGTTAATTATATATAACGGTTTTGCCCTTACCCAATGTATATTGATAGTTCGCGGTACCCGCTGCTTCATTTGACTCGTGGGTTCGAGTCCCATCCGAGTAAGCTTGTCAGGTTTTTTTCGCAAGCTCTCGGACAAGCACTGAGCATACAGTGCTTATAAATATACGTTGGGTAAGGGCAAAACCATTATATGAAAGAGAAATATCTGAGGCATTGACCTAGAACAAATCTTAAAACAAGACAGGATTTCCCTGGGAATACATTTCTCAGTCCCACACATCATGAGGTACCATATAGGAATCAATCCAGGAAAGCTCCAACTCTTAATCAGACTGGTTATATATACAATGTAGGTATATATAAATACAAAATCTAAGGCTTGACCAAGAGACAATTTATATATATCTTACTTCTGATGAATTTAACATACATCAGAATCTATTGAATATTCACAAACCCTGTTCAAATAGACCATAGTCATCGGAAAAACATTACAAAAGCATCAGTCCAAACTCTAGGACTACAGTCAGTCTGTCACTTACACCGTGGATGTGATGGGTGATGAGTCCTGACTTACATGCACACACTCTGTATATTCAAAATCTGCTCATATTTCTCAATGCATTGAAGGGCACAACTTATTCCCAGCCTCCACTAAGTTATAAGTCAAAGTGATTGGAAAGTACACTCAAACCACCTCAAATAATTCGCTAAACACGTCTTAAACTAAACGTAAAAGTAAAGCTTTCTGGGGAAACACCTCTTTTGGATCTAGTGTCAGAACATTACTGGCTAGTGGAAATGACGAGATACATGTACCAAAACCTTCAACATCATAAATTTGCTTGGACTTCTCAAAATATCCCAAAGTCCAGACTTCATAAAATCAATCGGTACACTTCTTTTTACAATTTGTAAGAGTCATAGTGAAAAATGCAATGACTAAACCCCAGAAAAGGTACACAATAGTATAAAATGATATAATTAGGAACTCAAAGTGACCATACCTAAGATAGACAGCCAAGACTCCTGAACATAAGGGAAAGACTTGGATTTTGAGGTCCTCCAGTCCAAAGGAAAATAGTGCAGAGCGCAGACAAAATTCGGCAGGTATGTAGTCAACACAATGTCAAAGTTTGGAATGCCAGGCTTGCCAAAACTGTGGGGCAAACTGCCACCCAGAAAATGCCCTTCCCACATGACTAGCTCAGGCTCTCATTGGACAGCTTTAAAATGTCACACATGACCTAATACTGATTGGTCATTTAGTATCTAGGCAGATGAGCACTCAGCAGAAGTTCATGGCTTTCACAGCTTGAGTAAGGTATGAACAACAACTAGGGACTAAGTGTTCCAACACCCTGCTGATCTCCTGAAAAGTTTACTGGGAGTGTACGCACTAGTGTACTAGTCAGAGACTAGTCAAAGGCAGTGGATACAAAGAGCATCCTGTGATCTCCTAGGAAAGCAGGAATATTAAAGATAAACTGAAGGAAGAGCAGGCTATTTGACAAAAGGAATCGGCAATAGATCAAAGGTTAAACACTGGAATACTGCTTACCAGTGGAAAAGTCAAAAGTCCAGGAAAGAACAATTTAAGTATGCAAAAGGAAAACATAATCATAAAGAAATAAAATTTGAAATTGTAACCAAAGACCTCCTCTTGGGACGGGGTTACATCTTGGTCTTGACACCCGAGTTGACCGTCTAACAAAACTCGACTAAAGAGTAGGAGTGTCCGTAATAGTTGGCTGAGTAGTTATTGGACTTGCGGCAGGTTTGCCTGATTGAGAATCCTCAATCGATGGAGGATGCACTCCATCAGGGATGTGCTGAGGAGGTTGTTCATTGTCGTGAGCACTTGATGGAGAGGTAACAGGTGCTGGTGAAATGACAGGACTATCTGCTGTGGGCGCCTCTGTTGAATCAGTGTCAGGCAGGGAAAGGTTCAATGACACTGGAGATGCCATTGGGATTCTAGACGGCTCTTCGATGTCATCCAGGATTTCCCCACAAGGAGACGAAAGCTGTTCAGAGGATGGGTTTTCCTCAACATCACGAACTTCCTCACAAGAAGGTGCAGGATATTCTAGGATTGGTTCACCCACTTGTGTCAGAGGGACAAACTCTGGGGCCTCTGCATTAAGTCAGGATTGCAGCAGTTGTTTGGGGATGACTACAACCAATTCATCATCACTGGAATCTGGACTCCCTGACGAATCAGATGGACATTATGAAACCTTAGCTGTGGCTCTCGTGACGGGATGATTTGGTTTGGTGCCTGAATGGTGGGACTCTTCACCATTAAGATAGTCGATGGGCAACAGGATATTTCTGTGTAGGGTTCGGACACGCTCATCACCAGTCTCTGGTTTGACGCGATAGACTGACATAGCTGGACTGATCCGGTCTACAACTAAGTGAACTGTCGAGTCCCAGTGATCGTCAATCTTGTGCTTTCCTTCTAGACCAAGATTTCGGACTAGAACCTGATCTCCAGCTGTCAAGTCATTTCCTTGCACACGTCCATCATGACATAAGCCGACTTAGCCGACTCTTTGGTTGCCAGGTGATATGCCCTCGCTAGTTGTTCTCTGAGGCCCTTGACATATTGGACATGGTCGCTGTGGGAAAACCTGTCGTGGTTCACACCGAGATGCAAATCCACTGGGAGTCTCGCCTCTGCCAAACAGAAGGAAATAAGGTGAAAAACCTGTGCTGTCATGCTTGTGCAATTGTATGCACGGACCAATGCACTGATATACTTACTCCAGTTGGCTTTCTTCTCATCCTCTAAGGTTTGGAGCATATTCAGCAAAGTACATGTACAGTTGAAGCGCTCTGGCTGAGGATCACCTTGGGGATGGTAGGGTGTCGTACGTGATTTCTTGATACTTTATGGTAGAAGAAGCATCAACTCCTTCACAGCCTTGCTCTTAAAATCATGCCCTTGGTGGGAGTGGAGACGTTAGGGCAGTCCGTAGTAAACACAGAAGTTCTCCCATAAGACCGTAGCTACAGTGCAAGCCCTTTGGTCTTTAGTAGGAAATGCCTGGGCGTATCTAGTAAAGTGATCAGTCACCACCAAGATGGACTTATTGTTGCTTTGGTCTGCCTATAAGGATAGGAAAATAGCCTGCAAAACCAAGAAATGATCGAACCTGCAAGCTTGACATTCAAAGGTCTCGGCCATGTCTCCAGAGCACACATGTTCTCAGGATTGGTCTGCACACCTTTCTCTGAGACCACTTGTCCAAGATACTTCACAGACCTACAACAGAGTTAAAACTTCTAAGGAGACATTTTCAGTCCAAACTGTGCAAGGCGATCAAGAACCCTCATAAGTCTCTCTTCCATCTGGTCTAGAGATCGACCAAAATATGATGAGATCATCCATGTACACTAGTACTTTAGTCATGGTGATACCTGACATGCAAGTTTCCATCAACCTTTGGAAAGTTGCTGGTGCGCCCTTGACACTTTTAGGCATACGCTGTGACTGGTAGAAACCCAAAGGACAGATGAACGCTGTTTTCTCCTTGTCTTCCTGATGCATGGGTATCTGATAGAAACCATATTTCAAGTCGATCACAGAAAACCAGTTACTGCCATTCAGACAGTCAATCACCTCCTGTATGAGTGGGACAGCATACTGATCAGGGATTGTGCGTGTGTTGAGTGTACGATAGTCAATTCACATCCGCAAGCTACCATTTTCTTACGAACCAGCACAATCGGTGAAGCATATGGGCTGCATGACTCTGATGATACCGTTGTC